TCTCGGGGACTGGAGTCACCCGGTTGGGGGAATTAATGGAGGATGCGGTAAGAAAGGTGGGTCAGGGCTCAGCTCTGGCCAGAACCGCGGTTCCATCTATGGCAGTTAGCCTTTGTCCTGAAGGTCACGGGAGCCCACGCAGGGTGCTGAGCGACGTGTTAACAATGACTGTGGTTTTCAAGCACGATTACTTCGATGGCAGGGGGAGGTTTGTTTCTGTGGGGAGGGACTGGAGCAGGGTGGGTGGGCAGTTCCCGCCGAGCGGAGCGTGGAGTAAGAGGTGAGGAGGGTCAGGCTCCTGCAATGGTGAGAAAGCAATGGACACGCCCAGTGTCGGGGCGCCCAGGAGAGAGGCTCAGCAGGTCTTGGGGGTTTCGAATCTGGATTTGGTGGCCTGGGGAAGTGGGGAAGACGGAAGAGCCAGCTGGGCCTTTTAGCTAAAGCTCTCTGATAGAGCAGCAATCACTGGGTCCTGCCCCCCGCCCGCCTCTCCGATGGTCAGCACTGTTTGGCCCTCACTGAACTTCTTGCACTCATTGCTCCACAGATACACGTGCAGGACAGTCCCATCCTCAAGGACTTCCAGCAGGTCTGTGCAAACTGAGCTGAGCGCTGTGACCCTTCGGCCTGTTGGCGGCTGTTCCCGGTTTGCTCCCCCTTTAGAACTGTGAGTATGTCTACAAACAGCCCCGCTCAACAGCCAGCGTGAGAAGAGTCTCAGGTGAGAACTGGTTATCCAGTCCTCTTTTGACTTTCATCTCAAGCCTCACAGCCAGGGCTCCCAGGTTCGATGTAGAAAAGCCCTGGCCCATATTAAAAGATCCCTCCAGTCGCTTGTCAGCTTCCTGGGCGCCCGGCACTGTGAGGTCAGGAATGGCCCAGGCGCAGTCCCTGCGACAAGCGCAGTGTGACCTCGCTCGTGTGTGGGCCCCAGTGAAGAAAAGGAACCGCCGAGCGCAACGCAGACAGACTCACGGACGGGAGCCGGCTGACAGCGGTTGGGGGCGGGGCGCAGAGTGTGTGGAGGGGAGAGACTGAGCAAAGGAGAAAAAAGGAGGAAAATCTCATGGACACTGAGGACAGTGTGCTGACTGCGGGGGCGGGGGAGGGTAGAGGGGGACAAGCGGTGATGGCCGGAGACTCCACTGGGGGTGTGAACACGCAGCACAGGGTACAGATGATGTGTCGCGGAACTGCGCACCCGAAACCTGTAGAATTCTGTTAACCAGTGTCACCCCAGTACACCCCCAGAAGCACGGAATGTGCATCGGGGAG